GCAACACCGAACTTGTTACAAAAAGCTTTGAACTATTTTTTTATCTGATCTTTGCAACATGAGCCTTGTTGCGTTCAGGCATCTGCAAATATGAGCCTTGTTGCAAATCTTTTGTGAACCTTTTTTTTCTTTGTTGCCCATCATTGCAACTTCGGTCATGTTGCAGACTCCTCTTGTAACCAAGGTCGTGTTGCAAAATATTTTTTGCAAAGAGAGAAGTCATGCACATATTGCAACAGATTTCATAACCTTTTTGCAACAGAGGTCTTGTTGCAGATTTTTTTTGCAACAGTGAAAGGATAAAGCGGTGCAGAGGGTCACACAGGATAAGCGTCACATTGGATTGGCTTGGTGAAGGGAATCATTGCCCTTAGGCTAGTTATAGTGGGAGTAACTTAGCTAGTAACATAGCGCACTTTAAAAAAATTGCTTATGTGACAAGTAATTAATGAGAGGTGATAACATAATATGTTACTGTAACAAAGCACTTTCCAAGACAAGATGAGTCTCAAGCTAATAAATGAAGTCATCTAAGATACTATTATTATATTACTTTGCATTATGAAGGTAGTAACTTAGGCTAGTGTCATATGCATGACACTTGTCTAAGTTACTCCCCACTATGACCAGCCTTAAAAGACGGAAACACTATTCAGCCGGCTGATCGGATGCAAAATGTGTGCCATACCATCTGCATGCCACGTGTCCCACCTGAGTTGTGTGCAACATGAATCTTCCTGCCATACCGAGATTTGCAACAAGGCTTCTGTTGTAACAGGATGGCAACGGGACGACACAAGACAGAGTTTTTTTTTGCAATATGTTGCAAATGAAGGTTTTTAGCAAGAATCTTGTTGCAAACGGCGATGACAACGATGACGGTGCTGCAACATCATATTTTCATTAAAAAACTTCTGCAACATCATCCATGTTGCAGCAGTCCTTCCGCAATATCATCTATGCTGCAAAAACGTGAAAGACGAAAAAAATAATAATTTTAGAACATAACTTCTGTTGCAAATATTTTTTTGCAACATGACTTTTGTTGCAAAGATAACGCTCAAGGAAATAACACTACGAGGTACAGAAGGTAATAACACTTCGGGTGGTTTTGTAACGAAGCCCTTACAAAGCGAACATCGCAACAATGAGCTTGTTGGAATTCGTGATGCGCATGCTTAAAGGAGATCCAACAACTATTTTTGCGTAAATCGGAGGGCACTGAAGGCGGTCGATGATTTTGTGTTATGCTTCAGCCAACGTGTAGCATCGCCCTAATAAAATAACAATATTAATTGATTGAGCAACAAAATCATACCAAGTCTATCGGGTAACACTCCATAGCAGAATGAAAAAATATACAAACATTGACCGAATACATACATGACTTAGCTAAAACATGAGCTACACTATTAAGGTGTTGATGGCCGTGCTTAAAAGCAGCATAGGAAAAACCTTGTGTACTTTGGGAATTATTTTCTTTCTCACCCGTAAATAGACAAACAGTGGTGAATAGAAAACAGTCAGTACTTCCGACTCCTGTCGCTGCCCCCGCGAATGATATATGACCAGCAGCAGTGCAGCCCTGCCGGGGTGTCGGCGATGCAGGTTTGATGCCCGAGGGCCGGTAGGCTACGTAGGGTGGTGGTGGCGACTCTCCTTCTCATTTTTGGTACAAGCCGGCGGAGTCTTGGACCACGGGCTCGCGCTCGGGTGGGCTAGATTGGGGCCCGGGGTGAGTTGGTGCTCCCGTGCCAGGTAGGGTTGGTTGGGCTCGGTGCAGGGTGTTGTCCCTGGGAGCAAGATTTCCTTCCACATGGGCACAATGGGCAATGGTGGTGGTCGTGACATCACATCACCGACATGCGTATCAGTGCTAACTACCACAGATGTGGTGCCGTATGAGCTCACCTGGCTTGGACTAGGGCTTGCTCGACGGCGGTCGTCGGCAGTCACATGATCATGTCCTCCCTGGTCCACCAGGGCCGGCTGGGTACACAAGTGTGGGCACTTCCTACCGTGGACGCGCTGACTCGGATTCAATGGCTGATGCCAGGCTAGGAGTTGATGGGGTGCCTCTCTCTTGCTATGGTGGTTGGTGCGCTGTGAAGTAGTCGGTTGGAGTGTTTTGGGCCTTGGATGCCTGGGCGGCGACTCCGGAAGGCGTTCCGCATGATTGGCTCTTTGGTGTGCGCCATGGCGGCGGCGGTGGCTATGTATCTTGGTCGTGTGGGCGGCGTGGGGTGTAGGAACAGGTGGCTTGGGCTCACTTGCTGTCGTTGACAGTGGTGACGCCCTGATCTGGATCCGGAGGCATGTGCTCGTCACGGTTGTCCTGAGTGCCTCGTGGTGAAACGGGTGAGCAACTGAGTGAAAGCTCTACGCTTTGCACTGATGGAGGCGACCCCCGTGGGTGCCGCTCTCCTATTGAGGACATTGTCGTGGTCCTTCTCTCTGTGTCAGAGTTCTAGGTGAAGACCTTAGTCTGGTTCGGACTCGCAGTGGTGACACTTAGAGCATCTCTAGCCGCGCCCCCAACAGGCCCTCCCCAGACATTTTTGCCGCGCCGGCGCCGAAAAAACGGCCCAGTCACGCCCCTAGAAGCCCGTTTTTCGCCGGCTCGGGCTGAAACTGGTGCCGGCGGACCCAGGCCGTACCCGGCTTCCTGGGGGATGCCTGGGGCGCCGGCACAAGCGAAAAGGACGCGTGGGTCCGCCCTGTCGGCGAGGCGAGCGCCTCTTCCCGCCGTTTTCTTCCACGTTTTCCCCACTTCCCTCTCGTACTCTTCCTTCCTCCCGCCAATCTCCCTCCCGCTCGCCTCCCTCCCAAGCGGCCGCCATGCCACCGAAGAAGTACGTCGCCCCCCGCGCGGCGGCAACCGCGACCGCCTCCGTCGCCCAGCCGAAGCAGAGGAAGCCGAGGGCGCCGCCGATCAAGCCACCGGGCATGTCAAACGCCGAGTGGAGGGCGGAAGTTCAGCGGCGGGAGGCTGTCACCGCCGATCGGCGGAATAGGGCCATCGCCAAGAAGGCCTGCGACAACGCGGCGCGCGCGGCTGCGGCTGCCTCGGCGGACCAAACCGAGGCCGAGGCGACTCGCGCGGGGATGGTGAATCCACCCGGAAGCCACGCCCAGTACGCGCCCTGGGGCCAGCAAGGCGTCGGCTCTCCGCAGCCATGTGGATCGCCCTCGCCGGGCTATGCTGATGGGGACGCGCACGGTGGGTTCAACCCAAATGTCACCTTCCCCCATGGATACCCGGCCCAGCGCACGCCCTCTCCCGCCTTCACCGGCGTGCAGTACCCTCCATACAACTACTCGCCGCCCGCCTACGCTTCCTCCCCGACGCCCCCGCTACGCCGTGGCCCACTGCCCTTCTCGCACCTCGGCGACACCGACGAGACTGAGTTTATTTATTTAATTTTAAGAGAACACAAACTTTAGTTAAACACGTGGACACTTTTTAAAACAACAAAAAAACTCATAAAGCATGAACACTTTTATATAGTACGTCAATTAATATTTTTTTAAAACTCTGAACATTTTTCAACTTATATAAGCATTTACTGAAATATACAGAAAATATATCACTAATTTCATATTTTTTATTAAAT